TTACTGTAATACACAGAAGAACGTTACGCAGTATACTTGCTGACTTTGCAGATCAGGTTCTGGATGATTCTGTTTTTTTCTCCTATTATTTTTCCAGACAATTGGAACTAAGCCTGTTGCTCATATTGACCAGTTTACTCCTGACATGCTGGGGTCTGCTGAGCTTGCAGAGGAGGTCAACTTGAACGGTTCTGGGAAACTAATAAAGGTCAGTGAGTGACAAAATGTTAATACCTGCTTAACATCTGCTAATTATTCTAATAACTGCTAACTTTGGTGGTTTTTACTACTGAAGTTTCTACAGGTAAGTACCTACTTCTAATCTGTTTAGCAGCCACTGAATTGGGAAGTGGTTTTTGCTGAGCCAGACATCAGTACTGTTAGAGAACTTGCATATACCAACTGAAGTCTCTTTTTTTTAATGTCCAGAACCTTTTTATTTTTTCCGTCTTAGCATTTGGTTTTATGTTTCAGATTACGGGCTGCACCAACCCTGGAAAAACGGTAACCATTGTGGTACGTGGATCCAACAAACTTGTTCTGGAAGAAGCTGAGCGTTCTATTCACGATGCCCTGTGTGTCATCAGATGCTTAGTTAAGAAAAGGTAACATCTTAGTTTGGTTAGATGTATGAATAATGCAGAAATAAATGATTTATGGACTTAATTAAAATGAGGCTTGATTTTTTTTTTTTTTTTTTTTTTTTTTTTTGTCCTCAGAGCTTTAATTGCAGGAGGCGGAGCACCGGAAATAGAGTTGGCCTTGCGCTTGAATGAGTATGCTCGTACTTTGAGGGGGATGGACTCATACTGTGTCCGTGCGTACGGAGATGCGCTGGAAGTCATACCCTCTACGCTGGCCGAGAACGCAGGTCTCAATCCTATCTCCACGGTGACAGAGCTGAGAAACAGACATGCTCAAGGAGAAAAAACAGCCGGCATTAATGTCAGAAAGGTAACAAGGAATTGGATGTGCATAGCCTAAAAAAAAAATAGTGAGGTATTAGAAGGAAAATGCTTAGCTTTAGGGCTACACTCAAGAGAGGGCAAGTTTGTGTCTCCTGACAGCGTTCTCCCTAAAATTAGTGTTGAGGTAGCTATATGTAGCTTGTTCTGAGGCTTTAACAGCTGAATATTGATAATAGCAGATACTTAAATGCCATACTCACCAGACCCAAAAAACTTCCTGTATCTCCTTAAAAACATTGTTACTTCAGCTACAAAAATAGATCCATTTAGAATGATTCATCAGTATTATGAGCACCTTCCACTGCAGATACGATATCACAGCGGGCTAGCTTCTTTTAAATTCTCACTGTGTTTAAGGAGGCATTACTATGTTTATCTTTTTGTCTTGGCTAATTTTGACTGGATGTGGCAAGTGCTTGGTGGGAGAAGAAGACACATACCATAATATTCCTGTTGAGGATGGCAGAGTGCAAGCCCTTTGATAGTTGAATTTAGAGTTGGCCGTCCTTCTCAGGATCATACTAAAAGAAAACTTGTTAGATTTAACTTGTCTGACTCGCACAAAGTAAAAGCAACTTTTTCTTGTAGGGTGGCATTTCCAACATCTTGGAGGAGTTGGTTGTCCAGCCACTGCTCGTGTCTTTGAGTGCATTGACTCTTGCAACAGAAACTGTGCGCAGTATTCTGAAGATTGATGATGTGGTGAGTAGTGTTTGCATCGTGTTTTGATTAATCTCTTTTTCACAAGCACTGGGATAATTACTGTTGTCTAATTTGTTGTGCTTCAAAATAAAATTACTGTGTAGCACTCTCAGTTCACATGCTACTTAGACTATTTGGCCTTCTAGAAGTTAACAGTTGGAACAAAATTAAATGCATTATAAATACCTTAAAGCAATTAATTCAGACAGTGACTAAAAACTCAAGATCTTTAAGCAGAGGAGAAAGGAACTGTTACATTTCCTGTGGCCTCCTTATGCCTGATTCTGTGAACTCTTCTTTGCAGGTGAACACCCGGTAAGCTGAACAGAGCAAGGGGGGACTGTGCCCTAGAGCTCCTTCCCTCTAGTCTGGAACATGGTCTCTTCACCAAAAGCGCCTGTGTGAATTGTCTTGAAGTCCACAAAGGCTTATGTACTTTTGTCAGTTTTAATTTAAAAAAAATCTCTGTTTTCAAACAGGAAATGCTGTTTATCAGTAAACATGCAGTAGTCTACCTGAGTCTTTGCTTTATAATTTTGCTAAAAATAAGGTAACAATTGTTGTATTTTTCTGTGCTGCATGCTCCTACATCACTCTGAAGAGTTTAATAGCAAATCATTCTTGTAATAGGTTCTAAAACCCCCCCTGATGCTAGTATAGAGCTGCTTTTCTAAAAGTTTTCCATAATGGAGTGGTATTGTTTCCCGAAACTAGGACTGGAGTATCTTTTTGTAGCGATAGCACTGCATTACTTGTTCTGTTTTGTCTCTTGAAGTCAGCAGTGGTTCCTGATGCCAGCACATGAGCTCGATATTATTTACAAAGGGCAGTTTTCTGTAGTTCATCCAAACTAAACCTACTTCTGAGAAGGCAAGGGTAATACTACTATAACTAGGCTTATCGATATTAATAAGGGATTTATTTAAAATCAGTTTTGGATAACAGGTGCATTTCAAACTGTTCAGGTTGCCTCCATCACAGTGGAGTTCCAGTTCCATTGAGGAAAACTGCAGCAATGAATGTTAATCCCTGTTAATAGCTGAAGACATACCCCGTGCTTGTATCACTGTACCTCCGTGCATTAGCTGTGATACGGGGAAACAAACTCTGCAACTCCCAAAGAGTTACAAAGCAGGTGTGCTTGTGACAGTGCTGGGGGATCGCTCCTCCAAAACACACACAACAACCAACAGCACATTTTACCAGAAGTATATACACATACAGGTACACATATTCGTAGCGTTATACGATACAAACATACATATGTATAAGTAAGGTGGAGTTAGTTCAAAAGGCTTGTGTCAGCAGTTCTAAAAAAGTCATCCTTGCACCTGCGTGTTGCCTCCTGGTGGTTGCTTTAGGGGTCACTTTCCTCACATTGAACTGCTTGCCCATTCTTCAGAGCATGCAGAATCTCCTAAATAGCTTCTTAAACCACAGGAGCGATCCCAAACAGTTTACTACCTTTATCTTACCTAAAGGCATTAGCACACTAGCTTTTACTTTCCATCTATGGCTATCTGTATTCTGCAAGGACTTAACTTGTTAAAACACTTTTGTTTCACGTGTTTCTAAACAGTTTTTTTGTTATGGCAAATACCAGTCTGTGACAAGCTTAATCCTTGAGGAGCAAAGTAGCCCGTGATGAGTTTCAAAAGAACAACCAAGGCAAACAGGGTTATTAAGCAATATTCAGAAATCATTATAAGTTGCTATAAGTAAGTTGCAAAGCAGGTGGTCAGTTCTCCGTAGCAGCTAGAGCCACAGAGAAAAGCCTGGCTGTCCCAGGATTCATTTAGTTTAATTAGTTCTTAATGTTACATTTCAGAGTTTAGAATAAATATTTTTCAACTTCTTGGCCTGGAAGTTTGAATTAACCCTTACATCTTTATTTTTGCTCTACTGAGATGACCAGATCCCTCTTTAAAGGGGAAATTCCTTGGATAGGAGAAATCTTAAAAGAGTATATTTTTTCTCTATGCCTGATCAGAGCTGTAGCTTTTGAGTGAACTTCCACCACTTTGTTGACCAGCTGTTGGCTTTCCTAGGATTTAGCAATTGAAGTAGAACAGCCAGAATAGTTCAAATACTAAAAAGTAAAGTGGACAATCAATTTAAGCATTAATGCTCTGCATGAATTATTTTTTGGCTGTTTGATGCCTTACCCCACAGGATGACATCCAGTAACAGTCACTTAAGTTATTAACTTCGATTAAAGCTTTCCTTCCTCATCATCACAAACTTCCAGTTCTTGGCAAGACTTAGAACTAGTATTGTGTGTGATGTAATCATTTCATCTGTTTCTCTGTAAAAATGTTTGTGCTTCACTACAAGAAGCAGGTCCAGCAGTCACTAATGCCTTCTGCCAGAAGCAGAACATTCCTGCGGATGCCAGTTTGCCCTTATTCTCCTTTACTCGGTAATTTTTTGTAGTACAAACTTTGAGACAGGAGACTTAAGTAATTTAAGGGGTAAAAAAAGGGAGCTTGTGAAGGAGAAAACTCAAAGTCCTGCTGAAAGTGATCACCTAAACATGGGTACGGGCAGCACTCTGCAGAGTGGAGGGGCAAGCACCGCAGCTGCAGACGATGGAGCCAAGCTCCAGACCTCCCTCTAAGCCAAAACGTCTTGATAATTTTTTTTTTATTTTCCTCTTTTCGTCTTGTTTTTTGTCTTTACGGTAACACTGCTGCCCCTCTTCCGCCCCAAGGCCTCGGCTGCCGGTGGCGGGCGGGAGCCGCCTCCCAGCCCAGCGCCCGCCTTTTCCGCTTCAGGGGCCGCCTCCCGCCGCCACCTTCTCCCGGCCGCGGCCGGGGAGGTGTGACATGGCCGGCTGCCTCCGCGACCC